GAGACAAGAACGAATTTTTCAAACAAAAAAGTACAATGTTTGAAATTTTCAAGAATATACGTTCTTGTGTCAGAACATGAATTTTCAAAAGAAGTGTTTTTTTTTCTCAGTGTATTTTTTCTTCTTAGTAGAAGACAAAATTTTCTATGCTTAATGATTTTTAATAAACTCAAATAATTCTTTAGAGCAATAAAAGCAAGAGTACATTGTAAAAAAGTTGCAGCGTGCTTTTTAGAGTAAAATGAATTTACTTGATTTAGTCTTTCCGAAGTAAAATTTACTTTGAGAAATATTTTATTTATATTATCATTAAAAAACCCTGCGAAGTGAATTCTTTATTTATTCATTTATTGTTTTTTTAGTAAATACTGAAAACTAAAGACTGTAATTATATGGATAGCGTATGATTAAACTGTAAGAATTAGTCATTTTTTTCATATGGATGATTCTAGACAGGATAATTGGATAAAGTTCGTTAGAGGTAAAAATAATTTTGAAAGATTCCGTAACGTTGATAGAAACATAGGGACGGTTTTTAAATATTGAGCGATGGTTTGTTCATAAGATATAAATACAAATTCTGAAAATGATACACTGAAAAAAAATTTTTATTGTCTTATCAAAAGTCAGAAATAGACAGCGATTTGTTATGACCACAAAATGATATTGGTTAATGCAACGAAATGGCATTTGTTACGGTGAGTAATATACAAACGTTGCTAAAACAAATGATGTTACTTGATAAGAAATTTAGTACATACTTGATCCCAAAGATGAACCTTTAAAATATCTCGTCACCCTTTTACTTTTGAAAAATTAAATTTTCAGAATCAAAAGAGTACGCAGTTTTTTTTTAATCAATTGATCAATTATTGAAGTCAATTGTAAAAAATGTATTAAACACAAAAGAAGCTTTTCTAGAATCCAATTTTATTTCTTTTATCTAGTGAAGTGAACTATCTAATTACTTTATTCATTATTTTTTCAATTGATTTGTTGGGATCTATCATACAATACCTAATATCAAAGTCACCTTGAGTTTTCTAACATCGTAATAATAACTGACTCGTGGTTTACCTATAAAAATAAAAAAAAATTTTACTTTAAATATTTTTAATTTTCGACATTGGAAATAAATTTTTGTTAATTTTAGTTTATTTCTCATAATAATAGTCTAAAAATTTTTTAGAATGTTGGGAAATCCTTAAAATTGAAGAATAACTTGAATAATTTATCAATTGATTGAAGAAAACGGTACTTCTTTTTTAGATATAAAAATTTTATTTTTCGAAAGTAAAAAAGTGACGAGATATTTTGAAAGTTGATCTGTGGGATCAAACGGCTATTAAATTTTTTATCAAGTAACATCATTCGTTTTAGAAATATATTCACATTACTTACAATAACAAGTGCCATTTCGTTGCGCTAACCAATTCATTTATCATTTTTTGCTGTTATAACAAATCGCTGTCTATTCCTGACTTTTTTAAGACAAAAAAATTATTGATTCTGTGTAAATTTTAATAAAATCTTATTTTTCGTTGAGTTCTTATTTTCATATCATTATTATTACGTTACCGAATATATTTGTTCATATAACTGAAATTTTTCAATGCTACCTAATAAAAAAGATCTCATTTATTTAATACACATACGAACGTCTATACGTATATTTTTAAGGCTTGTAGAAAACGCACGTCTTTATTTATTATTCACACAATAATTTCAATAAATATAATTTTGTAGATCAATAACGAAAACAAAATCGCAATTCGTAAAATAAATAAATATTTTTAAAGTTTAATATTCTGTTTAAAGATAATATTTTATCATCGGAAATTTTTATAATATATTTGAGCAATTTTGTTTTCGACATTTTGTAAAAAATATGTTATTGCTCATTAATTAAATAATATCACCATTTTGCTGATGTGACGCACTCGGTAGTCTAGTAAAATAGTCACGATTTTTATTTGTCAGACTACATTTGAAAATACATATGAACATTATCAAAATAAGTCTAAACATTTTTAACACGCACTTACTTACAAATCTTCGTTAGTCGCGTTATTCTTATTTATACATTTTTATTTGGACTATTCTCGATGATGAAAAATAACTTCATAAGCTTAATTAGATGATTGATTAATCCGTGACTAACGAAAGATTAATAAATGCTTACTTACATATTTTTTTAAAACCACCATAGCAACAGTAATCAAATCATCAATACACAAATAAAATTTTATACAATTTATTTATTACATTATTGTTATTAATTATAAAAAAAAAAAAGTTTTCGATGATCGGGTCATACGTTAATAATATGATGACTAAGAATTTCAATAGTTGATAATAAATTAAGTATCACTTGTTGATTACAAATTAATTTAATATACTTGATACTAGCTAATGTCCCAAGAAATTTGCTCGTTTTTTTTTTTATGAAGCGCCGCTGTATAAAATACTTTTATTTATAATTGTACATTTAAATATTTATCATGAGGATTAAATGAATCATTTATTTTGCTATTCATTCTGTTTTTATTTTTGTTCTAATTTAAATTATTATAGCAGTTTTATCTTTATGAATATACAACGTTACCATTTGAATCTTTTATAAAACTTTATTTTTTTTTTTTAATTTACGTAATTACTTAATTAGGTATGCTATTGAATTTATATCAACTGCTATAAGTCGTTAACTGAAATGAAATATTAAATGGGCGAAAAAATTAATAAGTTTTCTGGATTTTAAAAGTTAAATAATTTATTAAAAGCATGAAAATTTTATGATAATGATAAGAAATGTTTTTTCATTAAATTTTCACGGAATTAATGTCCAGCAAAAATTTATTCAAAAATTACAGTGCTATAAGAAGTAACTTGAATCCTTCACAAATGTATAGTGTACTTGACTTCAGAATCTGTGAAAAAATTTTTTGATACAGCACTATTATTGTCAATTTTATTACTACTTGAAAATTTATAAAAAAGCACTATAGTTTGTAATTGAAAATTATTTCTGTGTAACTATTGCAGAGTTATGAAATGTAATAATGATTTTCAAATATTTTCTACCATTTCAAATTTTTAATTAAATCAGTTTGATTCATTATAACTTTACAATTTTATTACCCTACTTTATATGTCCTCATTCTGTATGATATAGTTTTGGTTCTGAGCTTATATATTAAATATAATCTATTGAATGACTACTTTTAGTTAAAAAAAAAAAAAAAAAATAAATTTTATTTCGACTATTTTTATATTTATTGAAGTTAATGATTAATTTATTCAATTAAATGCATACAAAATAAATTGATTCATTGAAAAATATTATCTGCACTGAAAAAAAAAAACTTCTCGATTAAAAAAAAATATATTTTCTTTGAAATTTTTTATAAAAAAAATATCAGAATATTTTGGGGTAAAAATTTTATCTCTAAATAAAACTTTTCTCTGTAATCTTAAATAAAGAAACTATATCTTGAATCAAAAACATAAAATTAATGAGAAAAAATGAAATTATTCTAGTTATTGAGAATTTTTCTTGAAAGAGAAATTCGATTGCATCGATAAAAGGTAATATTCTTTTGATCGAAAATATAGACCTTTCTATCTAACAAGACGAAATTCATAACAAGAAATTATTTACGCAAGATTACCAGCTGTTTTCAAAATAAATTTCTTGACAAAATTATTTATCATAAATCAAGATAGTTTTAACTTCAGTATACAAATTTTGATACTAAAAGTAAAGTTATCAAAAACAAAGAAAATATACGGGAGAGCGAGTGCGATTATTCAAAATTAAGAAGCTTTATTAACAAGGCTCTTAGAAAATATCAATTAATATTATTTACTGCAGTTAAGAGACTAAGTGTCCATATGTTTGTATAAGTTCATTAGTTATGAAGTAAAGTTAATAAAGTTTGGGGTATTTGAATTTATTGAAAATAAATTCAAATTGAATACCGATGCAAGTTTATGCGCGTATAAAATATCGAGGGCGGATATATCTTGATTGATAAATATATAGAATATTTTAATAACAATCACAAGCTTATTGAAAACATAATACAGATAGTTGTCTATATTATGTATTTTGATTATCAAGTCTATTCCTCACAAATAAATAAGTAATAATCCAATTTGAACCACAGTGCGTGAGTGATGAGCATAAACGACTAGACGCCAAGATGACGTTCATTCATTTTTCATAATTTGTTAATATTAATAAAAAAACATTTGTGAGTTAATTATAAGTAAAATGATTTTACAATAAATGAACAATCTTTGAATTGAATATTCGCGTGCAGACTTTAGTGATTAGTTCATTAAATGCTCCCTCTATTCACCAATGTCTTGATTTAGAAAATACAAATCTTATTCAACTTCATTATTTTTTTTTAATTGATAAAATTGTGCAGTTTTAGGTGTTAAAATAAAATATTGAAAAGTGTAATGTGCGTAATTATTGAAATTGAAATTAAGAGTTCGGGAATTCATAATTTATTCGTTGAGCTCTGATTATCTATATATAGTTTAATACAGTATTAGACGTGTCGGCACTTGTAGTATTATTTTTAGATCCGTAAGTAGGCTTAGGACTAGGTAAAACCTTATCCCAGGCATTGATAAACTAAATAAATTAGCACAGAGTGATTAAAAATAAATATTTATAAAATAAGTATGAAAATGGGTCACAGTACAGCACACTGATGATGAACTTTGAGTCATTTTAGTCTAAGCTATTTCTTATATCCCCTCACATTTTAATAACTCCATGTGCAACCCTCTATTGATTTTTATTTCCACACTTTTTTTTATGTTCCTTTTACGTATATATAAATATATATTATATAACAACGATAACTAATGATGATGACGAATTAAAAATTTGACTGTTTGAAGACAGATAAACGTGACTCGACATAATTGACAATAAAAATATATCAATAAATAAAAATCCTCTCTAATGTATATTGATGCGAGTGTTGTGTTTTGTTCTATCACGTGGTGTAGGCCATATTCGCCAGTTGTATCCCCGAGATAATTGACCTGATCGGGACGCGAAACAAGTACGGCGGCACTTTGAAGAACGAGCGAGGTCGCAGGTGAGACACAAACCAATTAGCTTCCCTCAAAAAAAGTTAAAAACTAAGTAACCACTACACCAACAATGTTATTTAATCCTGTCTATTTCCTTGAGAGTGCCACCCTGTCAACTATCTTTCAATTAACCATTCATTTCTTTTATCAAAATTTTGATTTATTTGTTTTTATTATTTTATATTTTTATATCATCTAAATTATAAACTTAGAAGAGGTTTGAATCAATTGTTCAGATAAATTATAAAATTATGATATAAAATCAATAATTATAATTACTATAATATTTTTTACCAGGTATTTATGTCCATTCTCAGAATGTTCATAGAAAATTTCAAGATTAAAAACAAAATTTTTTTCTCAAAATGACGACTGTTTAAAAAAAGAGATAAACTTTTTTCAAATTTTTTGAAAATGGTAAAAGTCAAGATTTTTACATAACTTGGATAGAAGGGGCTGCAGAGGAATATATGGAGAAAGTTAATAGAAAATTTCAAGTAATTAGGATAGTTTGAACTTGAAATATTATGTCAACCATGATAAAAAGTAGTTTCAAGAAAAATTTCATAAATAATTGAAATTTTGGAAATTGCTTTTAAGGTTATATTTTTAAAGTTATAAGAATTAAAAATATGCAATAATAATATTAAATAACTTCTGAAATCTCGGTGTCTGAAACTTTAGATTGAGCTATCATACTGGAACTAAATTTGTTACTACGTCATTTTTATCAATAAAATATTTCTGATATCGGGTAATATAGTTACAGCGAAAATGTATTATAAATATTTTGATGTTATTCTTATGATGATTAAAATTGATTTAACTAAAAGTGAATAGTAAGTTACGCTTATAACAAAAACTACTCTCTTAAAAACTTTTATTTGAAGTCATTGTTTGATTAAATGTGAAAATTATAAACTAATTTAATCACACGCATCATTGATTTATATTTTTTTTGATGACTGAAACTTTTTCTGTCATTTAATAATATTGCCCAGGTTTTTGCAAAAAATTAATTTTTTCAACGTCAAGAATTTTCACGATTATTGGCAAATTTATATTTGATACTCTGAAAATCAAGAATTTCAACTACAACCATGATTTGAGTTTTTTTTTTTTTAATATTATGCCAGAGGTTATCTTTTTTCTGAAGTGGTTATCATAATATTTATAAGGAGTATAATTACTAGATTTTTCAAAAATTTTTATTTATTTAATATGGATAATATAAATAGAGACTTATTGATATTCAAGTTTATATAGGTTACATTTAGTTCTTCACGAGTTCTCAGTTACGTATTTAAAGTTTGCTTGTATAACTACGCTGATTAAAAAAAGGGATTCAAAAAGATTACCACAATGCAAAAAATATTTGTCGAGTAGTTGATTCAAACCATTCTATATATTTTATCGTTCCGTACATCGTAGATACGTCAATATATTATGAGTAAATCTATGAAAAAATAATAAATACAATAATATTAAGGTCCTCATGATTCAAAATCCGATAGTCATTAATTTAGGTGATGAAATTATTTTAATTATAAAACTATAAGAACTAAAAATTTTCAAATAAATAAAATTAATTGAGACTCTTGTGCATTCATTTTTTGAGTAATTAAACGGTTTTCATAGTATTTTGAGCTGAGCTTTAACTTCTATTATATTGTGTTTTATCTAACTGATTTTTAAAAATTTTTCTCCGTATACTGACCTACAACCTCTGACCTTAACTTCTGAGTACCTATATTCCTCTATTGTCTTTCCTTATATGTACGAAGACATATATAGCTCAATATATGTCTTTACTTTTGCACATGTTCATTCGATAATATTTACTTTATTCTATATCAAGTGTACAACCCTCCTCCAATCACTACCACAGAAACTAACCTACACCTAGCAACTGGTGTTAGCTTGTTTGTTCACACAGACGGCACTTAGGAGAAATACAGCTGTTTATATATTTTTTTTTGTTTATGTAAAGATTTAAGACAAGTTAAAAATTTTTTTAACTTATTAATCATTTATGATCAGTTCAATAAAATTTCTATAATTTTTTTTTTTTTTTAATAATTTGGTGGGAAAATACTGTTTTTAAATGTCATGCAAGATTATTTTTAAACTTGACGTATTTTTAATCTTGCATTAACCATGAAAAAGTGGTTGTTTTTTCAAAAAAGCTAATAGTATTGCTCTGATAATAATATATTATGTGACTAGTGTACTAATAGAGTGGTTATGTAGCGAGCGCAATGTTTTTAGCGCGGGTCGCAGGAACACATGTTTGGGCCTAAGGTCGAAACTTTTAATAGAAGTAAAATCTTTATTTCAACTGGACTATAATATAAGAATCTATTTCGATTCTCCATAACTTATTAAACGTCTTCAGTCTGCGCATGTACGCCGATGGCTCGTATTAAAAACATTCCGCTTGGTACATAAGGACTACCTTAGTAACTTAGCGATGTAATATATTATTTTCGAAAGCCATTGATTTACTCATAAGCAATGAAAAAAAAAATCGATTTATTATTGAATAAAAATATTATAAAAATTAGAAAAATGAGCTGTACTTATCTTAAAGTAACGTCATTATATGTTTAGCATGTCCTTTGTTTTCTTCAGCATCGAATGCATATATAAGTTCAGTGTTGTAAATCACTTAAATGTTCATAACATTGATATTTTAGTCATATGTTATATATAAATGATTATCGTTTTCGTGTGCGTTATAAAATATGATAAATCATATTTTTATTATTTGACAAAGGAATAATAACCATAGTAACAATAATCAATGAATACAAAAGAAAATGGTCTTTGTCGCAGGCTATGCGTTCATTTATAAAAATGAATATGACAGTAGTTCAGTCCATTTTTATTGATATGAAAAAGATATAAATCGTCAATAATACATAGGAATAAGGAGCTCATCAAAAACGATCATAGATAACAATCACTAGCGTTTTGTTATAGCTGATTCACATTGTGATAGTCAAAACCAATTAACGGCAATAAATAATTTTACTCATAATTAAACATATTCAAAATAGAAAATAATTTTAATCCTGCAAATATTTAATGATTTTTATCAATAAGTTAAGACTGTTTTTCGAATATATCTTACTTCATCGACACATAATGTGTACAATGGTGGTGTGCCTATAATATAGAATCAATAAAAAAAAAAAGACACAAATTATTACATTCACGCTTTACACAGTATCACAAAAAATAATGTTAATACCTGTTTATGCTCTTTTATTGATTATATCTTATTTGACTTATTCTTATTATCAATGATTTAAGTAAAAAATTCGTTTTTATCTTTCAAATATAAAACTGTTTTAAGTTCATTCATATTGTAAAAAAGTCCGCAAACAATTGAGATAATGATTATTACTCGCTTCGGGACTCGTTCTATACTGTTTGGAATAATGCAAATAAATAGTCTATTGTGCTGATGAGTGAGGATAGACTTTTTGGCAAAGACTGTACATTAACACCAGAAATCACCGACAAATAGTGCCAAAATACAAACGTTAAGTTTGCTTTTTATTTTTTTTATCTTTTTTACTATCAAAAGGTGCCAGAAATATTTTTGCTTGTATAAATAAGTATAATATTTGCATATGTATGAATAATAACGGAAAGGGGTTTTCCGTGAACATAAGAAACGTTTTTTGAAAAATCATATTTGGAGATAGATTTTTCTTTTGCAATTATTTGATTTATTAAGAAAAGTCACAGATTTTCTTCATTTCTGAAAGTAAAATACGGTAATCCCACTGATCTTTCGACTTGGATATTTATAATAAAGAGTAAAGTAAAATAGGATATCATTTTTAAATGAAAAGTGTTTTCTATATGCTAATAAATTTATTCTAACCACTTGAAAAATATGAGACAACTTAATTACTTTAAAAAAGAAAACACCGGAAAAAATAGTTATAGCAGTGCCCTTAATACTTTTGCATAAAGAAGACTGCATGCCAAAAAAGTAAATCACAATATCCTCGACATTTAAAGCTCAAAATGATAGTGTGGTTTTGTAAGCCTATGTACTTATTACGTTGAATATAAAGTAGTTTTATTTTGCAATTAAATATCTTATATAATAGAAAGAAACATTTTTGTTCCTTTTGAATTTTAAGAGAGTTCATTAATATTCTATGGAATGATAAATTTATTCGACAGAAATAGTGTAAATGAATATCATTTTAGAAAATGCTTATTTTGTGCAAGATATTAATTTGTAGTTTCTTGACTAATTTATTTCCTGATTTTTAGATATTGTTTGAAATCTTATCTTTAATTGTGATACCGAATTCACAAAGGCTAAATAATTATCTAACAATAATATTGTCGTAATCTAAATCTAATAATGTAATTTATATTAATATCAATATTTTTAAAAATTCAAATTCTTTGATTTATGTACAATTACAATGAGTATTAGTGTACCAGATCGTTTTTTAATAAAATTTAACCAATTCAGAAAATGAGATAAAACCTGATGGAAGAAGGGAGTGGGATACCGAAAAATCTTACGTATCGTTAAATGGGGGTAAGGAGGGTCAAAATCGCAAAAATCGTCCTTACGTAAATAATTAATGGCTTCTTAGCTTTATTTATTGTTATTGATTCTATTTTTATATAGAGAATGAGTATTTTTTTTTTTGAGTCGTTAAGTTAACTCATGTAACTTCTTAGCCGGTAAAAATTGCAACTTAACGTAGATAAATTTTTTTTATATTTTTTTTCCACTTAATTTCGTTCTATTGTAGTGAATATTGTAATATTTAACGAAAACTGCGTTGACTTCAATTTTCCATTCTAAACATATGAATGCAAAGAATACAATGAAACATTTTCCGTCACTGCTGTAACAAAATTATGTGTAAGAAATTTGTGTGTATATTTTGTTTATGATATATTAAGCGTTAACCTAAAAATTACACAAAAATTTGTGTATAAAATGACGCAAAATTTTTTATTGTACAAAAAACAATACTTAATATTATTAACAACGATTATACTTCTTTAAATATAAATTTACCTTCAAAATTTCGTATTTATATAGGGTAGAAGTACCGTTTGTGGCCACTGTACCGTTTATGGCCATTTATTATTGTTCAAATAAACGATAAAAATGAATTTATATTAATAAACCATTACAAACTCAATTTGTTTAAATATAAATTTTTTAAAACTCCACAAAAATATAGTTATAATATTATAATTTTTTATAAATTAATGCAAATGTTAACTGACCAAAAACGGTGCAAAGGTGGCCAAAAACGGTACTTCTACTCTATAGGGTCAATCAATCTGTAAGAATACCCAATGTCTGGCATAAAATTTATGTTTTTTATGTTCACAACAAACCTCTCCATTTTTAATGCACTTTATTTTTCTGACGTCAAATATGATTTAGTTTATTGACTATTCCGCAGCTAAATTTGGAATAAAACATTTTGTATTTATAAGCTATACCAGTAAGAGCATTGTATAAAACTTTTTTAATATTCTGGTACCATTTGTTAGTAAATAACACAATATTTTTATTGCATAAGATGTGAAAATTTTTCTTATAAAATAATATAATCATGTACAATAGAAGAGATGCTCTGTAATGAATAATGAATGAAAAGACATGTCAGTATTTACTAAAACGTGTTAACGCGTATGAATTTTCTCAATAATACCGAATGAATAACTGTCCTCTTTACTTCGCTCATTTTAACCTACACATACTTTATTGTCTATTTTATTTTTGTACATTATTATTTTTACATATTCTTTTTCACTTATCATTTTTTTCATAACTGCACGTATCGTTAAATCGATCCAATGGATAAGCTTTGCCTTTTCAATTGAGCTATTTTCGTGCAACTCTCAAATAACTCTCATGCCTTTTAAATTTATAAAATTGTTTAAAGTAAAGATATGTTTTAATCTGAATTCTTTTCATTTAACCGAAGATTGAAAAAAAAAAAAAAATTAAATATATCGAGATACAACAGTGTTTATGGCAGGTTACAACTTATATTGGCCTATCGATTGGCATAAATTCGTACTAGAATTGCGTAAAAAAACTTTACATATTTTTTTTTTTTAAGTCATTATTGAAAATAAATCAGATTATCATGCTTTTAGGCATTTCTTCAAAAATCAGCTCGATACAAAAATTTTTAGGGTTCTTTTAAAGGGTCTTTTGATGAATATATATTCTTAATGAATATATCTTTAATCTTCGAGGGTTGAAAAAATTTTGAATGTTGTCGAGAAATCAAAATTTTCAACGTTTTTCGGAATTTTTTTGAATCTTAAAGCAATCCCTAAAATTTTTTCATTAAGCTGGCATTTAAAGAGGGTTCTTAAATGATGACAGGCAAAAATATTTTTATAAAAATAATCGAAAACAATGGTCGGTTTTTTTATGCCTTCCTAATCTGTACCGAAAGAAAAATTAAAACAAATTATAACGAGGAATATAAATTAATTTCAATGATTATGACGCATTTATAATATTGTAATATTCTTATGTTTTTTCACTTAATTTTTAATTGAAAATTTATCACATTTTTATCTAAAATATCGTGTAAAAACTGTATTCATTAAAAATTAATTTTATTAATTTATTTTTTTCATTTTTGCAATTCAACAAATATATAACACACACAATTAGTATAATAACACAAATATTCACAAAATTACGATAAAATTAATTGAGAACATCATAGTAGACCTAGGTCAAGCAAAAAATTTAGCTAGAGATGCTTGAAATTTTAGTGATTTATTGATAATAACGTAAACTATTAAAATTACAAACAAGCCTGCACCTTCACTAAACATCCCTGATTGCCTACGATCTATGATGAACAACCATAGATAAATAACACCATTAACTAATAATACACTAATAATCACAGTATATCTCACTGTAATATGTATAATATACACGACCTCGATTCACTTAATATGTATAATTGTAATTTAATTCAAAGCGATTGTAATTAAGTCATTGTAGAATTAGTTTATTATTGTCGAGTTAGAATTAGCTTATTTTCGCGACTAACAACACAAAATTTCTAATGAATAAATCTTGGTAAGTTTTTAGACATTTGAGTAATATCTCCTGCATCTTGTAAAAGGGATTCTCAACAATAAAATATATATATTCAAATGAAGTAATTTGTAAATTTACATTTATTAATTCATTTGTTTTTATTTTTGATTAAAGAATCCTCGTTTATTTCATTATTGATATCTTTCGCTGGTTACTAAAGGAATTTTTATTTTTCTTTGTAAAGTCTCTCGTCAATCTTTATATATTAATAATACTTTTTTCAAACGTACATTAAAAATTCTGACTTTAATGTTACAAAAATAAATTTTTTTTATTCAATCATCTAATTACTAGCGGAGATATCAATATTTTAGTATTTGGTTGTAGTGGCTTGTAAAAAATTAGTAGATAAAAATCGAACAACTGTTTTATCAATTTTTTATTATTAATTTTTAATTTGAATAAAATTAACATACTGATTATGTTGGTAGACACATTGTTGTGTGCGGCCACATCACCTACGAGTCAGTGTCGCACTTCTTGAAGGACTTTTTACACGAAGATCGTGAAGATGTCGACGTTGAGGTCGTCTTCCTACATAGGTATGGTTAAATTTTTTTATTTTTTTTTTTTTTATAATATTTATAATTAAAATTGTTCTGCTAAATTATTTATACGATGCAAAAAAATAACATTACAATCTGTAATAAATTGTAAGCATAATTATGAAAGTTTTTTCCTTTATAGCGATTTCGTAAGTATATAATGATAGTTTTTCTTTTGAAGCAACTTTCTTCAGGGAAATGTTAAGTGTGATATGCGTATGCGTAATATTGAATCCAAATAAAAAGTTGTTGAAATCAAATTTCAATGTTGAAGGCAATGCTTGAAGCTATTTTATCCGTGAATCATAAGAAGTCACCTGTGTTTTCAGAAAAGAACCAGATCTTGAATTGGAAGGTCTTCTAAAAAGGCATTACACCACTGTGGAGTTTTTTCAGGGTACCATGATGAATGCTGTGGACCTAGAGCGCGTTAAGGTATCCTCTCAAGATGAGAGCAACTCAAAACAGACAAAAATAAAACTATCCGGGAAATCGTTTTTTAGAACTACGTAGATCTAGTGTGATCATGTTATTGGGTTAATAAGATCAATCTCAACTCACTGAGATTGAATTTTATCTGCGTGGATCAATTCAATCTTAGCAGATCTAAAGTAGTCTGCTTAGATTGAAGTTAAATTTGAGCTTAGTTGACCAAATTTAATCTTAGTAGATTTCTGTAATGGTTAGATAAAGTCTACGTAGATCTAAAATATTTATCCTGAGTATCACTTTCATTCACATTCACATTTCCACTATTTTCCAGAATAGTTCGAACAGGGACACTACCGTTTACGTCCAGAAAACTTGATGGATCGATTAGCTTTTTTCTTAAAAATTAAGCAATCAGCACAGAATCGGAAAAAATCTTTTAACTATTTTGCGATTGAGGTGTTGGATGCACTCACATGAAATAACTATCCAGAACAATATGTAGAACTGTTGTCTGACTGAAAATGAGAATTTTTTCTATCAATTTAATTACAATTTTCTTGCTCATATTTAGAATTATCTAGATACGTTATTTCGAGATTAAACTGAGCTAGCGTGTTCACTTATCGATTATAAAATTAATCGGATGGCAGATGTTTATGTAGTTTAATTTTACATTTATACGCTTTTACAGTTACTGAGTAAAAATATAAAAGACTGCACTGAAAAAAAAGTTTTTTTCCACCCAGAATACAAAGTATTTTTATCCAAGTTTTTTTATATCCGATATACGTTTTCTTAATATAAAAAAACTGGTATTTTTCTCCTGAGAATACCAAATTTTTTTCTGGAGCTAAAACTTTATACTGCGTTACCATAGCAACCGCAGCGGTGGCGCCGCCAATTCTCTGATTTCCCTCCAATTTCACAGTCCTGGCGTGTTTGTTTACATCATTGGAAAGTTGTATATACTAATTTATTTTTTATTTTTATTAATTTTTACATGTGGAATTTTTTAATTAAATTTTTTTTTGTAATAATTTAATTGCAATAAAATTCTAAAAAAATTTTTAATCTCTGTCAACTTCAGTGTCATTCTTAAATTTAATTATTATAATTTAATTTTCTTAAATTTAATTATAATTGGTAAAATAATAATTATTAATTTATTAATTATAATAAAAAAGATCCACTGTATCATAAACATTTCGTATGCATCTGTGTCAAGTGAGGTTAAGTCGGCCATATTTTTATTTTGGTATTTTGCTGAGAAGGAAACCGAGTTTTTTAAAAATCACTATACTTATTAGTGTAGGAAAAAAACTTTGGTATTCTCCACACAGGTATACCAGTTTCTTTACAGGAGGGAAAAATTTCCTAGGTGGAAAAAAACTTTTTTTTCAGTGTGTTGTCTGTTTATTTAGGAAATTATTCATACTTTTTTCTAGATGTTGAACGAAAAAAAAAGTAGTGTAATTAATAATATTATTGTGACATCAGATTACTCTTCCCTGCGATTATCATTATTGACTATATTTGGGTTATATTATAAGAATCGATTCAAGACCAACTAAAAATGCATAATTTTGATGTTTGATTATGTTTTTATTACGCTAGCATGATTTTGATAAAAAAATTAACCAACTTTATTAAATACTAATGAAGGTAGGTAAAAAAATTAACTTTTTGCATGCCGTAAGCGCGAACCCGAGTAAAAAAGATTTTATATAATTAGATACGATTATATATAATTGTATATCGTCTATATATAATTGGATATAATTTATATATAATTCTATATAATTATATCCAATTATATAAAATTAATCAAAATCATGAAGTAGAATTATATAAAATTATATATAATTAGATACAATTGTATCTAATTAGACACAATTGTATAAAATTATATAAAATTTTATGTGATTTGCCTTCACAACTTTATAAAATTTTATGAAATTGTATAAAATTATATATAATGAGATACATTTATATGGAATTCGACAGAATTCTCGTTTACAATTATAGACAGTTTTATATAATCAGAAACAATTATATATAATTGTATACAACTTTGTATAATTGTATAGAATTCATGGTCTTGAAAGAGATTTCTGCAATTTTATGTAAGTACAGACGTTTCTCTATCTGTTATAAATTTTACAGGAATCAAAATATTGTGATTACTATAAGACGTTCTCTTTTTTTAAACCAAGAGTCTCTTTCTCCAATGATTAATAATCTTGTAACCTATAGTATTTTGCGGATGAAATAATAGAAACTTTATTAACTTATAAAAAAATTAAATTTCACAAGAATTAATAGTTTTGTCAAGTTTAACCCGTCAGCACTCACGTTATGAGCATTTTGCTCACGCTCGATTTAAAACAATGAAAACTTTTTTTTTTTCAAATGGAAAGGGTAGATGAAATTTTTTCTACCTTCGAGTAATTTTATCTATTTTCAAATTATGAACTTTTGAAATGCTTTAATATCATAAATATTTTCTGAAAAAATATTTTTTCCATGCGCGTCAGAAATTGTGGGCATTCTTCTCATCACGAGATTATAGGTGTAACACAAAAAAATTTACTTTCGGTAACGTTCGGGCTAGTTCGTGTATCTTCGTAACTGTATAGCTGCCCGGCCGCATGCAGATTAAGGTAGTTGTAGCGTGAAAGCACGAGAGTAAAGATTACCGAAAAGTTCACGTGAGTGCTGACGGGTTAAACTAGTAAGCACACTGATAGAAATTTTAACTTGACTCAAGAGCAAAAATCTTGAACCAAGAACACCAATTGGAAGAAAATGAATTTCTTGAGCCAAAAGGAAAAATTCTTGGGTCAAGATATATTTTCTTAACTCAAGAGAATCTATCATGACTCAAGAATTTTTCCTCTTGGCTCAAGAAATTCATTTTCTTCCAATTGGTGTTCTTGGTTCAAGATTTTTGCTCTTGAGTCAAGTTAAAATTTCTATCAGTGCAATAAACGTTTTAAGTTTTTCCTGAATTTTTTCTGCATATTTGCGAAATTTTTACCATATTTGTGTCAAATTTTAACGAAAAAATGTTTCTGCTTTTTTGACAGCTAGTTACAGAGTTTTTATCGTATTTCGTTCGGTTTTTTTTATTGAATAATACTCACATGTTCTTGCATTTCTATAAATATGTTCAACGATAAAAAGTTGAGAGATTTAATTTTTCTTGCTCTCCTAGCCAAAAGTACGCTCTTCCTGGACGCACTTTACTCCAGGAAGAGCAACTTTTATGGCCTGCTCTCTACGCATGCGCGCTAGCAAATTTTCTGGCCGGCAGCACAGAACCTCGCTTTCTTTCGTACTTTCGTGGTGCGACCGGCCTAGACAGCCTTGTTTCGACTGTATATAACAGTCACAACATCGTCTGTATGTAACATGTCAGCACATAAACTAACCAAAAAATGTCAAAAAAATAAAAATAATTTCTTACTAGATTATTGTTAATGAACTATTTAATAATAATACTGTACAAATAATTTATATAAAAATTTTAGAAAGTAAAATATAAAAGTTTTGTAGATTTTATTTGCTTTCTTTTATATTTTGACAGCTAGTAAAGCGATGTTTATAAAACAATCCATGTACTCTACAAGCTTCTAATAATTTAATTTCAATCTTTCTTAACCGTCTAATTAAAAACTAATTTTTAATCAACTTAAAAAAATTAATTCTGTTATTAAATCGAGTTTAAATATTTGTGACAAGTTCTGTGCATGTTATCTCTCTTAATCAGAGCGTTTGTTAGTAAACTTTAAAATAACTTATTTTTTTTTATTTATTAATTTTTACTTTTTTATTATGCCCGCCCCGACCAGTAAAACCTCGGCTTTGCCTCGGCTTTGCAAAAGTCGGGCGGCGCCCCCCTCACCCCCGGCAAAACCTCGGCTTCGCCTCGGTTTTGCAAAACCCCTTCCCCGGGGTTACGTACTTTCGGCTGGAGAGCAAGAAATAGTATATTACACTACAAGGGAAGAAAGTTTGAGATTCCTGCACTGCGCGCCATATGCCCGAGGCGAAGCCGAGG